ATACAATCTCCGTCATATTGTAATGCACTGCATTTATCATAGCAATCAGATTACTGCCAATTCAGATTCTAATACTATCAAGAGACAATTGTTAATGTATAAATATAAAAATGTATATTTGAATTAAATATTGTTCAACTTTTACCATTATTTGTGTGTGTTTCAATATCTAAATAATTAGTCCAAGTTGATTTATCTTTAGAACATAAACATTGCACATTTGTGATTCGGAATTACATTTGCCAAATTTGTTGCCTACATTATTACATAATTTTGTGCAAAGGTCACCAATTGAAGTCGAACAAGATTTTTGGTTTGGCTTGAAGATGGTTTCTTCAATTTGAACTATTCTTTCTTCTCTGTAATCTAAAAATATGCATTGGTTTATCGATATTATTAATGTATATATTACGTTGATAAATATTATTTATACTGACATGTTTTTCTTTCGGTAACAATCTTTCTGTATTCATACCACTTTTCTTCAATGCGGGCAGTTTTACATTGGCAAACGTTGCGTATGCAGACGCCATCAAATTGTCTTTGTTTTATGCAACCGATGGCACATTCAGTTTCACTTGTACATGGTCTATTTATAATATTATTTTCGAATTCATTTTCTTCTTTTATCATATCTATTAAATACAAATATTTTAATAAATGTAAATTAGAACATAAAATAAATTTAACATAATTATATTAGGCTATAAACACACCCAAATTTTGCATTTAGTAGAGAAGATTTTGAATAATTTAAAAAGAATAATTTATTGTTAAAATTTTTGGAGCGTAATAGCATTGGACCTAAATTCGTGCACTTATAAAATCATTAGCGTTGGAAACAATATGTTACTCTTTTGAAAATAGTTCATGAAAATATTTAAATTCAATCAAACTTTACTCACCCCAGTATTGTTCTTCGCTGTAGTATTCTCTTCTTATCAATTCCTGGAACTTGCTCCATTCTTGGGCTCCAGATTTTATACATTTACATTCCCTAATGCCGTTTGTAACTTCTATACATTGTCCTCTATCATACATGACTTTTTTACACTCGTAATCACATAATTTATCCCCAGCGATTTTGTTTTCACAAATATCAGTTTCTTCTAATGGCCACCGAGTTTCCTCATGGTCACAAGTACAATAACCCATGTTACAACTCCCAGCAGTGTTTCTTAGTCTTCTACAATAATTGAAGCATAAATGGTCGTTCTGTGTTTTATCACATATATTATATCTGTAGGTCTGTTCAATAGTTTCATCAAGTTCAACCCAGGTTTGAGTCTCATAAAGGCATTGGCAAATACCACTATTGCATCTACCAGCAGAAGATCCAACACCTCTGCATTTGTAGTTGCAATCTCCTTCACCGTGGTCCATTCGACATACTTGGTGATGCCAAATTTCTAAAACAAATTAATTCGTTATTAATAAAATAAAGTAGGAAACCATGGCATGATATTAGAAATATGTGTAAAAAGTATTTTGATGGTGCTGGAAAAATATTTTCGTTTTTTATTAAATATAGTTATTTATATGTTATTGTTTTCTGTAATTATTTAACTCAATTGATGATTAAATATGCTAATTGTTGTTAAAATAATTACAACATATTAATCACTTACCTCGTTCGTGATATTCCTTATATAGTTCATTATAACTTTTCCAGGTTTTGTCTGTGCTCTGACATACGCATTCATTTTTATTGCAAATACCATCATCTCTTTTTAAACCTCTACATTTAATTTTACAATCAATTTTATCACGTTCTGTAGTACAGCGTTCAATTAAATCTGTCGGTTTTCGTGGATAATTTTCTAATACCGTAGTATCTTCATGAACTATTGAGATAAATAAAAAATGGTATACTTTATAGTAAATTGAGTAATTTCAAGTTTTTACCAATTCTGGTAACTATTTCCTCATATTTAGTCCAAGATTCTTCAGCTCGCTTAATTTGGCATTTGCATTGACTTTTGAAACACTTTCCACCAAATTGATGTTTCAAAAAACAAGCACTATCGCAATAACTATCCTCACAGTTTTATTGATGCGATCTTCAAACCATAAATCCGTATCTGTATGATGAAAATTAAAAAATTATAGTATCATTTCTGTCATCCCAGTATACAAGTGATTAAGTCAATTTTCACTATTTTGCAGGGTTTATGGTAAGATTCAAACTTACATCACACGCGCAAAATTGCGTTTATGAAATTATTTGTTTACATTTAATATAAAGTACTTCATTAGTGTTAATTTTCCACTATTTCAATGCAATAACTATTTTCAGAGAAATAGTTAAAACCGCAACTTAAGTCATATTTGCTGAAATTCGACTTAATCACTTGTTCAATGGAATGACAGATGTAATGCAAAGAAATCAATAGTACATTTAGAAATCATTTATATTTAAGTCCGTTTAGGATTTAAAAATGTATTCTCAATATTATTGATTTAAAAAGATAAAATTCACCTTTCTCCTTATTATCTTTAGTATAATAATCTCTTTCCTTAAGCTTCCTCCATTTATCATCCAAGCGCTTGCACGAACAAAATGTAGTTCCCCCATTTTTCCTACATTCCCCATCAGTAAAATGCAATTGCAAGCACTTCAATTTGCAATCAATACTCTTTCTTTCTTCAGACCGACAAATTTCTTCAATATTTTTTTCAATTTCTTTGGTCCTTTGCTCCTTTTCATTTGTGCACCCTCCGCAAACACATTTTTTATCCTGACATGTACCTGTGCATGAACATGTTCCTCTGCAATATTTTTCACACTTTCCAGAATCGTTTGAATTTGTACAAAGTTGATTTAAGAATTCGTTTTCTTTCTTATTAGTAAAGATTTCTAAATCGGTTTCTGCGTTGCATTTGCAAATGTTATTTGCGCATTGACCGCCTTTGTTATATCCTGCAGAAGAGGAAGAGTAGCTTGTAAAATTAATGCCGTAAAATAAATTTTATTTTAATTTGATAATTTATATTATTTTAAATTATATTTATTTAAACATAAAATATTTTGGTAGGTAATTATCTCCCCGAAACCAAATATTTAATTAAGGATCTAATTTATTAAACTAATAAATATAAGCAAGAAATTAGTACTTTTTGTGATATTGATTTAATTTATTTTCAGAAAAAAATATTTATTTTTTGTGGTCGCTATTATTTTTGAAAATTGGTTTTTAGTTTTCTCCATTTTCTGAGCATTATGATTTTACTTATTTTCAGAAAAAAATTATTTATTTTTGAAAATTAGTTTTTCTTAATCTCTGAGCATTTCGACATATTCCACATCTTCTGATTTCATTATTTGATCAAATATATACAAAAACTCATATTTATGTACATTGGTATGCAAACATGAATTCATATATTATCTACATAAAGCAATAGTTAAAACAAATATTTGATGAATGAAATAAAGTAGAAACAAAACTTAAATTTTTAAACAAGTTATAATTTATCATATCTCTTAATACTTAGGGATAGTAATCGCAAAAAAATGTATGTAGCGCGATTGCTTAACAAAAATGTTATAGAATTTTTAAAAAAAATTAAAATACAAAAAAAAACAAATTTTTCAAAAGCCTTTTTTTCCGATATATCAAAATTTCTCAAAAATCAATTTTTTCAAAGTTTTGCAAATTTAGTTTTCGGTACGAGAAGTTCCAGCAATTTGCCTTAAGGCACGATGCCATGCACCTTTATGTATCACCATTTCTTTAAATTTTGTTTTCAATTTTATTATAGGCTATTCAGAAGTGCATAGTATTATTTATATGAGTATTTGTTTTAACTATTAATATTTAAATTAATAATTGTACGTCACGACTTGTAATAGAATTTATTCATAAAAGAAATGCTTTCATTGAGTAACCTTTCAAAATAAATTCTATCAAATCAAAAATAAAAAATATACTATTTCCTTAATATCTAACTATGCTAGTGTTTTTCCTTTATTAATTTCCCGTAGGGTAAGTTATTGTAATCGTCCAAAAATCGAAATTGAAAATTTCTGCATTTCTCGACGTTTTGAAGGTTTCTGAACATTTTGGCATACCTCAGAAAAAATGGAGATAAGGAGCAAAGAGTGCAGAAAATAGAAATCGAGTTTTTGAGAGAACGGAGCATCCGATTTGAATGATCTAGAAAATATTCAATTAGTAATGATTGTGAAAAGTGGTTATTAGTTTTTGGCAAAGGCAGGCCCAGCCATTTCGAAGCTACAGAGCTGAATGTGCAAAATATGGCAGTTTTTGAGAGAACTAAGCGTCCGATTTAAATGATTCAAAGAACTTTCTGCTTGTTTTAACAAAATAATTGATTTTGGAAAAAAATTTTGTTCCAATATTTTTTTTCAATTTTTTTTGTATATCGAAAATGATTCAGATTTTATTTTTAATTCTGACTAAAGTTCTAATATACTTTAAACAAATAATTTCAACTTTGCAATTCAGTTTATATAATTCTTCTAAATATTAGACAATGTTTCAATATTTATAATAATCTATTTGAAAAAACTTAATATTTCTCGTACATTTCGTTACGGTTAGTTTAGATATCTATTTCTTTTATTACCTGTAATTGAGCAGCGGTAATTACATTCTCCGTCACCTATGCCGTCGGTGCACAATCCATACACGTTTTCATTATCCGGAGGAGACTGTAAAACTCTAATAAATTTCAAAATATACCATTTGCAATCTTCATCTAAATGGCACATGCATTTATTATTTTCGCAACGCGCCGGATACTTCGATATTTTCGAACAGGCGTCAATGCACTGATTGCCGAATGTCCCTTGGCAAAGGTGAATTTCGCCACCATCATCTGTTGTTACTATAAATGATAGAAATTATAATAATTTATTACAATTTTTATTTTTTCATTCAAGGCGAATTGGTTCATCTTAATCTTACTAATGACATTCTATTGGATGTAAGTTAAATAAAAAATGCATTTAGATGATTGTTACTAACTAATTGAATTAGTAAAACTGTTGAAAAATTGAACACACCATTTTACACTTGATGGCAGTATGTTTTTAATAGCTCTTTTCATACTTATATAAGCTAATTGAAACAATTATATATATATATATATATATATATATATGCAAACAATATTATATTATGATAGTATAATGATATTCCCAGAATAGGTGTATACAATTTGTATCTTTATGTAAAAATCAATGTATGTATTTAAGTCAAATAAAGCAGATTTTCAAATTAAAAAAAAATTAAAATTGAACACACTATTTAGTAATAAGTAGAAACATGAATTAGTATTATCCCGATATAAATTTAAATTTTAAAATTGTTTAAATATTTAGTCTGCATTATCAATATTAACCCCTCATATTCAAATCATATATATATATATATATACATACATATATATATATATATGTGTGTGTGTGTGTATATATTATTATCTTGTCCTCACCAAAACTTTGCCGTATTTCTGAACCAAATACTGCTCTATTTTCCGAATATAATATCAAAAACACACAAATGATAAAATATAGCTTCATTTTGCACTAATAATAAAAAACATTTTCCAAATTATTATATTTTGATAATACGTTCAACTATGGTGAAAAATTTAATTAATTTTGCAACTTCTATAAAACGCATTTTTTAAAAAGTTTGATTTCACAATATTTATTTAGAGTACGATAACAAGTGAATTTCCAAATTTTTTTGTGAGAATTCAAAACATACTTTTTTCCACAATATTGCATAAAATGTATGTAATATTATTACAACTAATTATTTTCCTGTTAATCGGCAGAACATTTTCTACTAAACATTTAAAAAAAAACTTGAATTATTCAAGTCTGATGAATGATTTCTAAGAACAGTTTGACGACGTTAATGCGAAACGTGAATGATGTAGTCTAAATTCTAAAAACATGTAATTGTTTTGCAAAAATATAATTCATAAAAATTACATTACATTGACAAAGGTTTACACGTACAAATATAGTTTAAATAATATAATTGTTTTAACTTAAATATTTTCTCATGCTCTAACTCTGTAATATTCATTGCCTGAAGACAGCCTCCACCTCATACAAAGCCGTTTCTTGTTTCCAACATTGGTGTTTGGAAGATGATTGTTTAATTGATTAAATTCGATCTCACATTTGCAATTATTTTCACCTCTACAACCTCCAGATTGCAATCCAGCCCGATAACACCAAAAATGACATGCCCAATTATAATAATCTATACCGTAAGCAGATTGTTTATAACAAGATGTATCAGCAGCAATTCTGATGTTGTTGACAACTGAAAATTATTATAAGAAATATTGATAAAATAATTTTTAATAGTTAACAACTTATATATTGAAATATTATTAGTCGATTTGACAGTAATTTTTATATTTATAAAGAAACAGTTAACTCAAGTTAAATATTAATTTTCCAACAAAATTATTAAATTTTTTATTATTTTATAAATTCTAAAATGTATTTCTAATTTTCCCAACATATGTGAGTTTACACAATTTTTGACCAAAAAGTTGGCCAGGAAATCAATCTAAATTTGTCCCTTTCTCAAACAGTGTTATTTTAATTATGTATACATAATTACTATAATCGCAAAAATAAATCATAGTATATATTATATTACATAATATTGGCAGCCCAGATCGGTCCCGAAACAACTGAACATTTTCTGTGGCAGTCGATTTATAAATCAGTCCCATTAATATTAAAAAATAAAACAATTTGATAAATATATCTTTTTGGAACATTTTTCACTTGATTATAAAAATGTTGTAATTCGTATTATAAAAGATATTGGAATATTTCAACTAATTATGATAAACATATGATATGCCTGCTATATTTATTTGGCATACAAAAGATATTACAAAATCGCAAGTGAGTCTATTGTCGAAAATTAAACAGAATTTGAATATCTAACTATTGATCGCATGTTTTGTAGAAATATGTAGAAAGATTTTGTTAGTAATTTCAAATTTGTACTAGTCGCTGATTGATTTTCAATATTACTCATAAATATTTTTAATAATATTTTGGTATAACAATTTATTTCGAAACCTAAACCAAAATATCAAATCTTACTGTAGAAAATAAAATCTCAATGATAATTTGATTTATTTCAGAAGTTTTTTGTCCTATTTATAGCGGAATTTTTTGGTTTTTGTAATATCGAAATGAATATAACTACATAATAAAGAATTATTTATGTCGTGTATTTTGAGATTTCGATTTTTTTTCAAAATAAAATATTAAATGCTTAATGCCGTGCCGATATATTCATTAAATAATTCGACGATAATGCTGTTAATCAGTCTAGAACCTCTAAAATGTTAAATTGACGCAATTGTAGATTTAATTAGTTCATAAAATTCATAAAAAGACAAGCATATCACACATATTTCACACATAATATTTTATTTAACATAAATTATTAATACAGTTTTATTTATATATGTGGTGAATATACATTATGCATCATTTTCTGCATTTGAAATTTAATATAGGCAAAAATTCACTAACTGAAAATAAATACTTAGAAAAATTTTAGTAACAGTGTTTAAAACATTAGAATCTAATGTTTTAAACACTGTTACTAAAAATACTAAAAATCTAATGATTAGATGATCATTGCCACCATATAACAAATTCAAATCATGTATTTTCGGTTTTATATGATATTTTATATAATTTTTATGAAATTATATAACGTGATATTTTTTATTTTTCTATTGACTCATCTGAGTTATACGGTGGATCATCCATCTTCTTTTCGTTGGAATCAATAAGCTCTAAAATATTAGTTCCTGGTATAGTTTTAATTTGTTTCTCCTTATTTATTCTATTTTTCTTAGTTTTTTCATTTTTTGATACACCACGTTTTGTACTCTTTGGATTTGGTTCGGTTGTTTGATTTTCATTTTGATTTTGATATGGATTTTTGCCATTATTCGTTGTTTTAATATTTTTGTAATCGTTATTATATTTTTTCTTCGTATTCTTCTTATTTTCTCTAATAGATTTTTGTTTCTTTTCTGATTGAATTTTTCGTTGGTATGAAGGATCCCCATAGTTTCCAGGACGATCATCACATTTACAAGTTTCTTGTGCTTCTTTCTCATTAATTTTTTTGCATCTACCTCCTGATGTACCAATTAGCAAACAATGGGTATGACAATGATATGTATGAAAATTCAGACCTTTATATCTGAGTTCTTCTTTACAATCAGGATTGAGTTTGAATTGATGCCCATTAAAACCTGCGTAAGAACGATTGATGTGTATACTCCATATGTAATAAATATTTAATAAAAAATAACTTACCCAAATTATAATCTCCATTTTCATTTAATTTATGAACTGTTACTTCAAGTCCATTGTGTCCTGCAAGTGCAGGTTTTAATATGAATAGAAATAAAAACCACTTCATAATAATTTAAAAAAAAGTTATTTTAAAAAAGCATATATTGGAACTGTACATATAGTTTTATCTGGCTTCTTTTTATTTTTTATTTTACTTGATCAATAAAGATTAAATTTTGATCCATTGTGTTTTCATTTCAATTTATTTTGAAATTAACACATACAAAAACTGTAAGTATTAGGAAATGCAATACGTATATGTTGTTTATCAAGCTAAAGTAATAAACAAACAGAACTTTTTGCAAAATATATGCATATTTGGGGTTTACAGGTGTCTCTTTGGTAAAAGCAGGTCCCAGGTTCGGTTTTCCTTTGAAGATGTACATGAAAACAAATACATCAAATATGCAGCTTGGCTTAGAAATTAGAAATCATCAGTATTCTAATAGTAAAATATCTATTTTTAAATAGATACAAGCTAAATTTTGGGTTGCTTTCTAAAAAGCTACGTAATTGAGAAGTATTATCACAAAAAATAATAGGCTTTTAGTTCTGATCACTATTAAAAAAATATACATTCAAGTTAATATTTATGCTGATGATAAAATTTGAGCAATAATAACAAAAAGAACTAGAAGAAAAAGAAATAATTAAGAGAACAAAATTGATTAAGATATTTATACAATATGATAATATATTATTGTATTTTTACAGAAATTCTAGGTTGTCAAATTACTAATAATCCGAAATAATTAAAATACAATTTTGTTATTGTTATTTGTAAAGTTTTTTTTATTATTAACAAATAGCAATCCAAATTACATATAATTACTATAAGCTATTCTCTATTTGAAAAGTTTAAACTCAAATTTTTATGTATGAAGAACGATGTTATTATTTTATTTCTTCCTTTCTTTAGACTCTGCAGAGTTATATTCAGGATCTGGTAGCCTATCTTCATCAGAAAAAATTAACTCTACAACGTTTGTGCCACTAATGGGTTTGGGTTTGGGGACCGGTTTCGTAGGCGTTGGTTTCTTTTTATTTTCTTTATTTTTTTTATTATTCTCGTGTTTAGTGCTTCCTGGAACTTGATTATTTATGGTATTTGAATTTGGATCTAGAATTTTATTCTCCCATGTGCACTGGCATTCATTTCGGCATACTCCATTCCCTTGCCTATAACATGTAATATGACATTGAAATAAACCACTTGTTACATCCTGATGTCTTAATATTTCATTGTGGCAGCTTGGATCCAGTACCCGCAAGATATCATGTATATCTTAAAATAGTAAACATGTGTTAAATTAATTATTATTGATTTATACATAATAACATATATTAATTCATATAATAACCTTTTGCATGATAAATATCATTATCATCCAATGGTCTTAACTCTGCATTGCTTATTAAGAAAAGTATAAGTGAGATTAGGTACCACATATTTGCAAGGCTAATAAATTTAATTTATTATATATTTTTTTTCAAATAAGACTTGTCACATCTGTTAATTAAAATGAAGTGTGATTTATTTGGTTACTTTATTTATTTAGTTAAAATATGATAAAAAATACTGATACTTATAAGACCTACTGTACTGTTACTGTTAAATTATAAATATATTTATTATTATGGCAGATGTTTATATTTTCAAAATATGTTTTTGTAGCAAACGATACAAATAATTGTGCAATTTTCTTGAGCAATTAAATTAACCGAATAGAAAACCCTCAAATTTAAATTTTGGAAATAATTTCCAAGTTTTATTATAATATTTTATAAATAAAAAACAACATTTCTTTTGATAATTTTTCACATATCACTAATGTAATGTATTGAAAATTAAAATTTGGTATTATTTTTTTGCTAAGATTTTTGGGAAATTAAAACCAAGAACTCTTTTGATCATTTATTTTTTATCATATAACAATGATAAAATGTTTCCAAAATAATTGATTGATATCATAATATTTTTATTTTTTTCCATATAAATATAATTACTACAGAAATATTAGATAAAAAACATCAAACTACTGGAAGGTAGATAAAAATTGATATCATTAAATAAGAATACGACAAATAAATTTATTAAACGTATGCTACAATAGCTTTATAATGTGGAAGATTACATGTTAAATGAAGCTTTGATTAGGTATAAATTAAGATATAAATTAATAAGCGATTAAATAAATTTTTGTATACACCAAAATAATTTAAAATACAATGTACATTTTTGTAAGTGTGCCAGAATTTTTTGCAATTGCAATTGTTTGGTAGCTATATGATAAGTTTTTTAATATTCAGTAGTTGCTTCGAATACAGATCCCTCTTTTGTCAAATGACCTTCTTCCTGAGTGTTATCGTCACTGACATAATTGCTTGCATCATTAGCATCCACATAATTATCCATGGGCCTCTGATTTTGGTTTTCATAAAATGTATTCATTTCGTTTGCGACATTCATTGAACTAGTATCTTTCTCAAGGGTATTAGTATCAGTTCTCGATTTTTCTACTTTGGAAGCATATGAAGCAGAGTAATAAGCAGGGGGTCCTTGCCCGTAACATTCGCATTTTGTTGAATCCTCGGAGCAAGATCCTGCTCCAAATCCGGTAAGGATACAATGGAGGTAGCAGGCGGATTGGACGTATTCTTGAGTCCTGGAGTTCATGTATGAATTACATGAGCTATCAGGCATTACTTGTTTGCCATCAAGCACTAAAATAAAATGAAAAAAAAAATCATTTCTAGCGATAGAAAATTTTAATCTATAAAAAAAAAATTTCTTAAAATAATGATTTTTTCTATTACTAATGCTTGCTACTAATCCTTATCATATAGTTTTGATTTCCGACAGATATATACATTTTTAAACTAGAGCTCACTCAAGTCCAGTTAAGAAATGAGTCCTTTGAACTGTTGGGTTTTCTTCAATGACGAGGCCTTTTTTAGATGGTAACCCATACGGTTGTCTCTATGTGATGAAAATATTCTCACAATTTCTGCAGTAGTTGAGAATTTTTTATTGATGAAATAATTCTGGGCAAAGGCTATTTGCACTTGGAAACATATTGCTATCTATATATTTCCAAGTAAAAGTGAATGGAAATACTTGACTTAATGCCACTCAAGCTGGGTATCGAATCTGGAACTTCTGATTGGGAAACCTAAATCTAACCACTAACCTACGGTAGAACCCTCCTCTTATGTCTAGTGAAGCTATACAAATTGGACGCATAATTAATTTACCACATTTATGTTTATTTTCATTTCAATATAAAATTTATTCAAATTATTTTGTCTTTTAATTTAAACTTACTTAGTTGAAGATCATCCTCATCATTATGTCTGACTAACTGTGCTTCACCACTTACATATTCAAAACATACATAAAAAATTACCACCAAACTTAAATATTTGAACTTCATTTTAAATCCGCGTTACCTTTCTTTTAGAGGAATGAAATGACATTGCAATGCATTTGAATATTGCATTGGTGGTGTATTTATCTTTTGATTTAAAAACCAAGGTCATATCATATATTAAATTTTATTTGACCTTTTGGCCATTTAATTGCTTGATAATCCCGTAATCCATATTTTTGGTCAGATCAATGTCAACACGGACTAACACATATTCGAAATATAGTGAAGAATCGTAATGCTGGCTTCGAAAAATGTTAAATATATTAATAACAAATACAGCATCAAAGTTATTCAAAATATATATCAACTTACATTATAATTGTCACTCTTAATATGAGAAATAATTATGCTAGAAACAAAAATAGTATACTATTTGAAAGCTTTATTTTAATTTTAGGTACAAATATTTAATACTTAGTACGTGTTACATTTAGTATTTAGTCTAATTTTTAATAATACCCAATCCCCTCATCGATGTTCCTATTTGTTTTTAAATATTTATATGGGTGTTATAAAAATACAGAATATAAATCATATAATCTCATATAAATGACAGTGAATTATTTTTAACTTGCTGACAAAATATTCAAATGTATTTTTCGCCATAAATTATAATATTTTGAATATTTGTGAACAGATATTTTGAAACAGATATTTAAAATATTAGCGAGATGATATGAAATTAAAAATGGTGTTTTACAGGATTTAATATTTTGCCGGATTATGTTTTTTAATTATTATTTCTAATTCTTAGAAATACTAATATGATATTTTATATCATAGGAATATTGTCTTTTCATATAATCTTCGAAGCATAATATTCGCATACTACAGTGATTGTGAATTTATATTTAATAAATAAACAAATGTTAGAAATTAAATTGATTGCCTTAAATTAATATTTTAAAACATTATTTATTCAAAACAATATATTTATTTGATAATATTTCAAAATCTCATTTTGCAATTTATTATGTTATTGCCAAACTTAAAAATACTGCTGAAAACACAAAATTTTGAAAACACGCGCTTAAAAAATTGTTACGAAATGAAAAATTATAAATATCACTCAAAATAGCATGCAAGTGCTTATTTGTTCATCTAGCTATATTAAAATATTATTTATTTACGATGATTAAGAAATATAGTTTAATTGTTTTATTAATTCTAAATTTCTGTGAATATTCATTTTGTTCAAACACGAAATGGATCAGGGAAAATGGGACCAATGAATATTTGCTAAGTAAGTATTTTGGACTAACAATATTCGATGAGCATCTAAAAGTAACTTTTAATATCATTAGCTTATAATAATGAACCAATTGAACCAAGTGACCAATGTGTAAAAAAATCTGAAAAGTTTCCTGATGAGTTTAAATGGCAATGCTACACACACTGTGCTTACATCGGATATGGTGTTGGTTGGTGTTTTAAAAAGGGCGATTCTGATGAAATGGAATGCAAATGTGAAGGAAGTGGTTATTATACGAGAAATTCTTACAGACGGGAATGGGAAAATAAAAAGTACAAAAAAGCGGGAGGCCACGAAGGTAATCATTACCAACCGTCGTTATTTTCTTCTAGATGACCTTATTCTATATATTGCACAAAATTATGCAAGCAAAAAAATGTATTAACTTTACAATCTCTAGATGATCAACATCATGAAAATGATCAAAGTGATGGTCATACCTCCCATGTATCACAAGATATGGACCATGTAGAAGAAGATGCTCATGAAGATCAAAATGATCAAATAGGGCACTATGATGATGCAGCAGAAGAGCATACAGAAGAGGAGGATGGTGATAATGGTGAATATTATGATCAAGATTATGATGAAAATGATCATGAAGGGTACGATGAAGAACATACACAAGATAATTCTCACGGTAAATAATCGTGATATTCTGAGTATAAACAACATCATTTGAAATTTATATTATAATCATTTTTCAGATTTCGAGGAAAACGACAAAACAATCCCATTCTACAATCCTAAGTAGCATTCAACTTTAAAATAAAGTTATATTTATATATATATATATATATGTATAATTTAGAATTTTATTTTTTTATTCTAATTTATTTGAAAAAAAAAACAAAATATATATAAAATAAAATAGCTGTTTTTATATAAAACTTTTTAATTAAACAATCTATATCTTAACGTTATGTTATAATATCATTATATTCACTATGAATGAAAAAAACTTAAAAATGAAATCTGGAGATTTAGTTTCAAAACTATTAAGTTAAAAATGTACAACAAAAGCAGCTTAAAGAAAACGTAGTTCTGATTGTTGTTGAAATAAATAAACATGATACTATTTATCAAATTTCAAAATGATATTGTTATGTTGTTTGCTTAGTATCTAGTAAGATAATCGGAATGAAAATAAATTTGTTTAGGATATTAAAATATCGATCTTTAGTATATACATTACAGTTTTATTTAAAACCTATTAAAAGTAGTTTTGTACTTTCTATCTTTTGCTTTGTCTTTTATTTGTATTTATATATAAAAAATAATACACTTATAAATAAATAGATTAAATTATATAATAAAAAAGATTTCGGTCAACCTATTTTGATCAGCTGTAACTAAGTGCGCACTCCCGGGCGCGATCCCACTACCATTCGTAACGGGGGCTCTTGGCTGCTTGGTTTACCCTCTGGCCCGGTCCACCCCTCCTTAGCCAACCTGGTCACTTTGGACTCCTCCGAAGTAACTATGTTGATTACGAAGTTAATGCGGACGTCCAGTCAACATGAACAGTTTAGTTACAGATTTGCTAACCTCAAGGTTTCCACGAAATCCGACCTCCCATACACTTGGATTACAAGAGACGCCACTCTCTCGGTCGGAAATGAAGCTTGATAATTTTGGGCAAAAGTTGTGTGATTGGTTTGATTTAGAGTATTTTTTTTTAATATTTATGTATTATGCTTATTATGCATTAAAGGAAACACTTTATCAATTAATGTACATAAAATTTATTGGTTTCAGTTTAGGTATAAAATAACAAGATAACTTCACAAATCGTATAAACAGATGAAGACAAAATTAATTTTTATGATGAAGACAGAACAATTCATGAATATATGAGCTATAATATTATATGAACTATTGTATGAATATTATATGTATTGTATTTAATCCTTATTTATTTTCTGCAATTGCAAACACCGTTTTCGCAGCGTCCTCCTCTAAATCCACGGCGTAAACTGAGACAATGAGCGGCACAAGCTGCATGATTGAGAGAGCCAATCGGTGTAGAAACGCTTAAAAGATCGCAAGTAACGCGCTTCTGTCTAACGCCAGCATTGTCGTAAGGTCCTGAAAAAAATACAATAGATTCATATATTATTCTCAGCACTAATCATAAAAGAAATGGTTCAAATCGAAAAGTAATCGCAATCCTGTAAAACAATTGATTTTGAAAAATGATTTTGAAACAATGAAAATGATTTTACAATATCGGTTAACGAATTGAATTATAAAAAAAAAATTAGACAAATTTGACAACATATTCGCATGAAATTATATAATATATTATATATCTTATATTACCTTGATCCAAATCAACCAACTGCTCAACTGGCTCTCCTAATAGCTCATCTTCCCCCAGTTGGAAGTCTCCAGTTGGTATGGATTGAACGGTGGCGAACAAGGCAACTAATGCCAAACATAAAACTGTTAAGTATTTCATTTTGATTTTTAAGTTTTAAAGTTAAAGTTTCAAGTTAAGATTAATAATTCAACTTCTGTTGATGTCTTCTGTGTTTTGATTTCGAAATGTGTTCGGGAAGGTTTATATACTTCTTTGAGAGATCGGAAGTAAATCCCCGTAGATAATGCTGTCATCATTTCTGCAATCAGTTCAAATATGGTATGACCTGCAAGTACGAATACTAACGAATGATTTATATTATATATAAATAATATGTATATATATATATATATATATATATATATATATAATATGCAGCTTTATTATCTGTGTAACCATAGCAGAAACATAACATTCATTTGTTTGAAACCTAGAGAGGTCAGGCCACCGCGGAATTTCCGATTTACAGACTGCTTACTTTATCTAGTGCAAATATAAATAACTAAGGGGATTCACTTCGAGAAGTTAAGACCTATATATAAACCACTGTTTATAAACAATATTAAACATTTCTGAAGTCTATCAAGTGTAGTTGTCTTAACAGAAGACATAAAGAAATTACTCTTTTTAAGAATGAAAAACTTTATCGTCATTTGCTTTGCTCTTGTCGCATTGTTTGCTGCAGTACAATCCGTACCTTTGGAGGGATTGTTTGAAGATACTTTTCAAGATGAACCTACAGATCTTTATCAAGGTATTCATCATAAAAAATACTTTATTTTATCAGGCAAATTATAATCATCTTTCATTTAAAAAAATTCGGATTATTTTAATAAAAGTAAAAGATTTTTTTCCAAAAGTAATTTTTATCGTTATAGCTTTATTATAACTCTATTGACTCGATTTTAGGAGCATTAGACAATGCTGGCGTTCGTCAAAAACGAGTGACTTGTGATTTATTAAGTGTGAGTACCAAAATTGGTTCCTTGAATCACGCCGCATGTGCTGCTCATTGCCTTGCTTTGCGTAGAGGATTTAGAGGTGGTCGTTGTGAAAATGGAGTTTGCAATTGCAGAAGATGAATAAATAAATAAGAATAAAATTAAAATAAAACCAAAACAATTCTAGTCAAACATTTGAAATCTATTGAAACCATGTAATTGTTAGATAAACTGGTGTAATAAGAATGTAATTGCTTAGCTTTAAAGATGGATATCAATAAAACACATTTTTAAGTATGAAAATACTTTTTATTTTAGAAATATCAATTTTTAATTCATAAGAATTTATTAAGTCCGTTATTTACAAATTAGCTATTTACACTATTACTATTAAATTACATTCTATAATTAATTTAATATTTACAATTTACAATTTATGTAACTTTTAAAAATAACAGTAAATAAAACCAATCACACAATTTTTGACCCAGATTATCTGGCTTTGTTTCCGACCGAGAGAGTGGCGTCTCTTGTAATCCAAGTGTATGGGAGGTCGGATTTCGTGGAAACCTTGAGGTTAGCGGATCTGTAACTAAACTGCTCATGTTGACTGGACGTCCGCATTAACTTCGTAATCAACATGGTTACTTCAGGGGAGCCTTTAGTAATCAGGTTGGCTAAAGAGGGGTGGACCGGGCCAGAGGGTAAACCAAGCAGCCAAGAGCCCCCGTTACGAATGGTAGTGGGATCGCGCCCGGGAGTGCGCAATAAGTTACAGCTGATCAAAATAGGTTGACCGAAATCTTTTTTTTTTTCAATAAATAATTACAATAATTTGATTGTTGTAATAGTTTTTGCAAATCATTATGATGATAAATATATTTTTATAATATATATTATATGACAGTATAATCATTATTTTTAACTACTTATTTTGCGTTTTTTTTGCAAGTGTCTGATACTTAGACGTTCAGCAAATTTGATGATTAGTTATGTTTGCTATATGAATTTTTCAGATTTATTGAGTGTGATGAATTGCTGTACGTTGTTTTCCATACGTTATTGATTTTAAATTAATATATTTATTATTGTTTTTCATTATTTACTTTATTATACGTTTTGATAAGATACAATTGTTATTGTATTAATACTGATTATATCTATCTTTTATTAATACATTGATATTTAATTGATGATTCAAGTTATTTAAACAATCCAATTCTCTATATTACTTCTTCGGAATGAACGATACATGGTAAAATTAATAATAATAAACATGATTAAGTTTTTACTTATTAATAACTAATTATTAATAACAAGTGCCCTTTAATTTTAACGTCTGCATTTGCATACTCCCTTACTGCAACGATCTCCTTTGAATCCTTTGCCCATGGTGAGGCAGTGTGCAGCACAAGCAGCATGATTTAAAGAGCCCCAAGGAGTGCTAATGCCCATTAAATCACATGTTACTCGCTTTTGTCGCACTCCTTCATTTCCATAATCATATGCTAAAATATATAATATAATTATCAATAAAATATTGTGAATTTTATATCATGGAAAAACAACTACTGAGTTGTTTTTTCCAACATGCCCTTGTAGTATACTATGTCCCTTTACGGCCGACTATTATAAATTCATCAAATTTATTGAATGTCCTTTACTGGACAGTTGTAAATAAAAAAGATAATAAAAAAATATATACTAAAACATTTTACATCAATGAGAATAAATCTTGTAATATTTAAATTTAAAACAAACCGTCAGTACCTTGCTCCATATTTCCAATTTCTTGTAAGGCCTCATCTTCCAAAAATGTATCCAAAGGTACACTTTGTGCCGATGCAACCAGGGCAATTAGTGCCAAGCAAAAGGCTAATAAAAATTTCATAATGAAATATACTTGTTAGCTTGAAGTTTGTCGTTTGTCGTAATTATATGGATATGGATCTCCAAAGGGTTTATATACATATGATATTCAAATATAGTTTTTCCCCTTTGGAAGGGATTTTCCGAATCGCATTTTGGATTATTTTTCTAAGACTTTTAATCTGTGAAATATTGTTTTTAATGTTATAAAAAATAATGTACTATCATGAAACGATTGTTTTTGGTTATTATACAGGAAGCCGTTACTAATTTTTTAATGCTTTAGTAATTATAATTTTAAGAACAATATTTAAACAGATCAGATGATAATCGCAATATATACTTATCAGTTGCTTTCATTAATTTCATTAAGACACAGTTGGTAAGATCTATGTGTAAACTAATTAACAGCGCAATTAAGATAAAATGATTAGTCCCGTTTTCAAATACATTTGAGACTGTGGTATTTCCAAGAACGTAAAACGTAAAGCTCACAATCTGCACAAATCCTCCGGAAAAGGGGATTCACTTTTGGCTACTGGATTTGGTATATAAACTGCTTCTTCCTTGCACTAATCATCATTCGATAATACACGTTAGAGATGATAATAAGAAAGTTTTACTAATACTTACTAACTTAAGGAAGAAACATGAAATCAGTTATAGTGCTTTGTTTGGCTTTTATTGCAATGCTCGCATTAGTGCAATCTGTGCCTGTCGAATCATTTGCTGAAGATGGTGAATTATTTGGTGAAGAAGTAGCAATTATTGATTTAGATCAAGGTAAAAATCACAATTGTTTAATTATTATTAATATATTTTTGTGTTACTATTTCTATCATTTATCATTGTTTTTATTTTAGTGGAAGAAAACACAGGTGTACGCCAAAAACGTGTTACTTGCGATTTGTTAAGCGTTAGCACACCTTGGGGATCCTTAAACCACGCAGGATGCGCGGCTCACTGCCTTGCCATGCGTCGAGGTTACAGAGGAGGCCGCTGCTCAAGAGGTGTTTGCCGTTGCCGAAAATAGACACATATTATCTAGAACAATTTACCTTAAAACTCAGTATTTTTATTCTAATATTTAACTAATTTTAATGCAAAATTTTATATAAAATAAACCATGACTATAGCAGCAAAATGCATTTTTATTGATATTAAGAATTTTTTTTTAATTACAATATTTATCACAACTGTTAAATAATTAACATCTAGCAATAATGATAAATAATAACATAAATTTAAATAAATAAGAGTGCGAAGGATAGAATTTACATTAAAATAATATCCGTAGTATGATGATTTAATATAAAATAAAAGCAAAAAATAATAAAAATAAAATTAATATATAATATAAATAAAATTTCTGAATAATAAAATAATACTAGAAAAACAATTATTTAATTATTTTATATGTACTTTTTGTAGATCAAATAAATATTATTTTAGTCAAATTTAAGAGGGTTTTTTTTCATCAAAATTGTAAGTGCAGTTCATGAAATTATTATGAACATTATTTAATATGTATTAAAATATTATTTTGAATATTAAATAAATTAAATAGAATAAATCAATATTTAATATAAATATATATATTATTGATTATTATTATTATTATTTATTATAAATTTTACAATATTTCACAAAAATTTTATATTTAGCTAAGCGAAAGTATATAAAAATAAAACATTTGATGAATCATAGTAAAAAAGATACCTTCGTAACTTGATAGTGATGTTTTACTTGCCCTAAAATGTTTTGATACTAATTCTCATTATCATTATTTAAAAATTAAAAGCATTTTGTGAAACTGGTAGATTGTCAATGTTGTGTACACACACATACACAAAAATTAAAATATTTTCGATAAAATTGAATTTTGTGAAAATTTTTGATAAAATATGATTTGAAAATAACGTGTAATACGTATTAAGTGCACTTAATGCTCGGCGAGGGGTGTTTTATGTAACAATATAAAGTTTAGATATTTAGAGTATTATTAGCTTTTTAATTACATTTTTTTCTTTACAGAGCTATGATTTCGTGCAGATGCAACGTCTGCAATACATAATTCTGTAATACAGAATTTCTTAAGGTATTATAAGAACTCCAAACTGAACAATCCTTTAAGTGCTCTGATCACAATGGAAAATTATGGATTAGTAAGGTAATAAAATAGTTAGTCCTTTAAATAATTTAAACAAATATGCTGAGATTCTCAAAGATTTTTTTTTTAAATTCATTTTTGCAAATAGTTTAACAAAGATTAAAATATGCTCTATAGGCATTTTAAATGAAGAAGACGTTACGCAAGTGGTTAAGAGCCACTGGTTATGCTACCACTAGTTAGTGCTTTTAAATAATTCAAACAAATATGCTGAGATTCTTAAAGATTTTTTAAAAAAAAATCATATTTTTGCAAATAGTTTAACAAAGATTAAAATATGCTCTATAGGCAAGTGGTTAAGAGCAACTAGTTATATTACCACTTGCCCTGATACCAAGCAGTATAATCATCTTTAAGATATTTGTTTTAATTTAAAGATATAACTAGTGCATATGCGCCAATAAAGAAGTACGTAAAAAATTTAATAGACAAAGATATGCAAATAAATAATAAATATGAATTTGAAAAATCAATGCGGTAAAATTTCAATAAAAATTCGAGCTTTGCGTAATGGGATTTAAAAATTATGATAGGTATGGTAAGTGGTTAATTATTATTAGTAAGGCTAATCTTAAAAAACTTTAACTTAACATAAAAGATATTTAGAAAATTCTATCTAAGAACAATAGCTTAATTTGACCCTGAAATTGATAAGACAACAAATTTATATGTTAATACTTTGTTAATATTAATTATATTAACTACTTGCTGTCTTTATATTTCAATATGGAGAACAAACATTTTATTTTATCGAAATCTAAAAGTAAGTCCTATCTATTGAAATCTAAAAGTAAGTCCACATCTATATATACGTGCATACTATTTGATTTGCAAAATATTTGTTTAATTCAGAATTAGTATAAATTGTTCTTCTAATATTATAATTTGTCTGCTTGATAACTACTATTGCATATTTTATTACATTCAAATGAATGTATTTGTTATTACCGAATATACTGATATAAATTCTGTACAGTAATCGAGTGCGGTTCATGACCCCGCGTACACATCGTCAAGGACCCGGGGAACCACTATCTGTTTTTGTCGGAGAACTGATCATTAGTCATAATATTCATTTTTCTGACGATTAAATTAAGTATTGAAGTTCTGTAGACAAAAAATAGACCTTACACCATCTCAGTAAGAATTTTAATTGCTAATTTATTAACTTATAGTTAATATATTGAATATGACGATTTTCGAAATAAAAATTCTACTTAAATAATCGGAATTTGATTACTATTGAGTATATTATGCATTAATTACTTATATAAAAATAAAACAGTACTAATATTTAACATACTAGCATATATTTCGATATTTATATAATATATGTACAATTTTAAATTTATAAATTCTATGGTTTGACAATACATATTACACGTCCATATATAAACAATTTTAAATTTATAAATTCTATGGTTTGACAATACATATTACACATACATATATATACAATTTTAAATTTATAAACTCTATGGTTTGACGTACATATATTATCATTTACACTAAATTTAATTGACTTTTACTGATATAATTTGTAATCATATAATGTTTAATACGGTTGATTTTTGAGTATTATGAAAAGATTATATTTAATTACAAGCAGGAAAATCCACACCATGGAATACCCAAAATGCAATTGAATATTTCGGAATATAAATAGGATGTCGCGAATCAAGCAATATTGGCTTGAACTCTGGCAAATTTCCATCTTCCGTCAGTTTTAAAATCATCCCATTAAGAACTGCATGTCTGTAATATTAAGTTAATTAATATTTGAATAAGTAATGTTAATTTAAAATAAATATTTCTTACATGGCTTGAAGATTGTCTTTATATGGTGTTACATAATATGCTCTTACTGTAGCAGGCATATTATTATACAAAGCTCCATTAAACCGGACAATTTGATCACTGTCCTTCAAATTCATACCAAATACTAAAATACATAAAAACATTAATTATATAACAAAAGAATTTTATTTCAATAAACAAACCTGTTAATGTTGCATTATTCGAAACATGTACACTATTTGGTGTACAATGTGCATAAAGCCGAATAAGTCCATTAGAGTGGCTTTGTGATCTTAAAACTCGTTCATCAACAAAGGTTTTATACAAAACCGCAATCCACCAATCCTGAATAAAAAAAAACAATTATTATACAAAATTGTATAAGTTAATAATTGAGTATATAGCATGCATTTGATAATAAGTAAATAAACTAACTGGTAGTGGTTCCATTTGTTCTGAAATCATTGTGTATGCAGCCCCATATAAACTCTGTCGTATAACTACATCTATTCCAAGTTTTGCAGACAATCCTAATTTATCCAAGTATATGAAACTACCAGCAAATGTATTTGATAAACCTGGCGCACCACCTCCATAAGCTGAACCAGTCTCCGCTAAAAGAAAAAATGTTCTGGTCAATAGAAAAAAGGTCAAAAGAAAAAACAGTGAAAAAAGTCACATACATATCCATATTGGCATATTTGTAGATCCATACTTGGAAATTATTTTTTTCACAATTACAATTTGGTCGTGAAGTAAATTAAACATATTTGGATCAAGAAAGTTACTAAGAACAGCTTCTCTCCCGCTCATATAATATCTGGTCAATATATTACATTTTTATTGAACAGTTCATTAAAATTTATATCATTTATAATTTTAGTATTAATTCTTACTGGTGCCAAGAAAACACATTTATACTGTCCTGTTCTGCGATTAAAAATTCTTTCATATACTTCGCACTATCGCTATCAAATGAAAGAGGTCTAGTAGTTTCTGGACCAGTAATAAAAGATCTTGAGTACCGAGGGAAGCTAGAAAGAATTTCCCTCAACTTCTTGTAATCTTTTGCAAGTTGTGCAGCTTCAACGGGCGCTCCAAAAACATGTTTAAATGAATTAGGTTCTGAAATTTTAATTCAATATAAATATATAAGTTTAATTTATTCAAAACAAACTCACCATTTCCTAATTGCCAATTGATATCTAGATTGTGTGTATCACAAAATTTGATTAAGTCCTCAGCATTTTTGGAAAACCATCCATTATCATTACGTATGAGTACATTCAGATCAAATAATAATGTTAAACCAGTTTTACTTGCAAAACTAGCTATTTGTAGCAAATCTTCGCCTAGAAGTTATTGGAATATTTTATTTTAAATAGTTACATTTGTTTTTTATGTGCATTGATAATTAATATTAACCTGTTAATATTAGAATATCAGTGGGGTCTGGTTTTTTGCATTCTCTATGTTCATAGGAGCAAATACTACCATCAAATAACCCATCTCTTTTATTTCTTGCTTTTGAGCCATTTTCTATAAATAAAGGCGATCAGACAAAGTGCCACCAAATCTCAAATGACCGGGTGCGAGATGTCTAATAAAGTTTATAGTTGAATCATCGCTGCAATATAATATTGTTATGAATACTAATTCAAAAACTTTTGTGAAATAAACGAAACCTGAGGTTCAAATTTCCAAAGTCTTTTCCTAGAAGTGATGTATCTAGTCCAAAACTAGCAAACTTTTTAGAAATCAAGTGAGATGGCTGATTATTTCTGTCCAGTGTGAATAAAAATTCTTCATGGTAAATCGAAGAGAGTGAAACATACCAACATGTGATTAGCATAAGAAGCAGCATAAATAGTAATAGGAACGAGCCACACAGACCTTTCAAACACAAACCTAAATATAACAACTGGATTAGATTCTAATTTTATTAACATTTCGCTTAAAGTTATTAGTTCACTTAAATTAGTACATACATGGTTCTTTAATAATTGGATCCCTCTCTTCGAATGCATGTTCTCTTAGAAGTGGATCTGTTTGCAAAGGGCCTCTTTTCGTGTTTTTCCACATTTTAACAAATAAACAATACAAAAAACATTAAGAGATAAAAAATACACACAAAAATTAAATAGAAATGACTCTTTTAAATTTGAAAAAACTATTTTATTAAAAATTGATAGTCTTATGTTTTACTATTTAAATTTCATTTCAGTGAGAGTATTTTGTTTACTGGAAATGATTCCATTATTTTTGTTAGATAATTGTCATTAATCATGACTCAATAACTATGATTAATGATCAATCAAATTAAAATATCATAATAGTAAATATTGTAAAGTAAATATTTACAAACTGTAACTGTCAAAATACATATGGGATTGTTTGCATGTGTGTGATCTCTCCTTAATAATTTATTTGCACAAATGTCATGTAGTAATGTAAAATAAGTGGTTATTTATTTAACCTATTTATTGCTTAGTATCTATATGCTTTATCACTATTTCGTTTTAATTTAGCTAACATTTAAACTATAATTTCATTTCAACTCAGTAAAATATGAAATCATTTAATAATTGTGCATTATATTAAAATGGATTCAAGAAGTTATTATCCAAACTATTTCACTATAGAAGATATTTTAGCAACAAACGAAAGATTGCCATGTAAAGTTCTTGATGAAATACCTGGATTAGGTATTATTATTGCACAGATTTTAATAAATATTTAAAATATTTTCTAACAATGCATGTCTTCTATTCAATAAGACTAATGTGTGCAAGGACTATACAAACCTTGTTTATAGTAATGGAAAATTAATTCTATAGCATACATCAATCAATTTAAACTTCCTTATTAAGTTCCTAAACTACAAACAAAGAACTTAATTAATATATATTTGTTCAATTATTCAATTTGCATTCTTAATAAAATTTTAACTCGAAAACATAAATAATGCTCTAAACATAATTTGTTTTTGTTACAAGAATTTTGTTCAAGCTTTCAACTTTCTATTTTATAGGTTTTTTAGACCCTTCTTCTGCAAATGAAAATTTAAAAGCTGGTACGGTATTGGAATTTCCACTTTGGCTAGTGAAATCAGTGGCTGTTGGCAGAAACCGGGTGATTACACCCAGAAATTCCAAAAATTTATAAAGAACAATATAGGTACAATTATTATTAAATACATAATTTTAAATAATATGCTACAAATACTGTGAATTTTATTACAGGGAAATATTACAAGCTGATGCTTGTGCTGTTGATCTTAGTAGACTTTGCAATTTTTTCTATGAAGTAGGATCTTACATGTGCCAATTTGATCTTAGGGGAACTATTGCAGAAACTTTAATAGAAGTAATTATATTACATAACATCTTACAACTGTGAATATATAATAACTATATTTTATATCATTTTTGCAGACCTTCAAAAACAGGTTTAGATATATAATGGATTTATCACAAAATACAGAGAATAGTACTCAATCTTCAAATAAATTAGACAATCTTGAAGAAAGTTTATTAAAAAATGGTATCAATACCACTTTACTTATGGATGAATGGCTATTGAAAGGACACAGTGCCATTGCTGCTGGACAAATGGTTACTGGATATAAAAAACGTAAACGAGATGCCCTGGATGAATAACATGATTTCATATTAATTGTATATAATTTATATGTATCTAATTGGTTAATAGTTAATTTTTTTTTCAAATAACACAATTATCTTTGTTTAATCCTGAGTGAGTATCTCTTTTTCAGATTACTAAATTAAAAAAAAAATTAGTATAAAAAATTAGTAACTTCATGAAATTTCTTTAGAAGAAAAGTAATTTATATTATCATATGTGTCCACCATCAGTCATTTTAGTATTTTGATATCAATTTAATATTTATTTTGTTAAATCAGTTGAAAAATTAATACTAATATACAATAAATGTGTAGTTTTTTATCATTTTATAAATTTGAATATGAATGTAATTTTTATATCTTTCGCATATCTTTAGATAGATGACACTACCGTCGAACTGTCAGTTTACAGTCAAATATATTTCTAGCTGAAATCTGTAAATTTCAATAATAGTTTTATTAAAAAGCAAATTATTATAAAATTTATTTTATTTTAATTATATTTATTTAATCATTAAAATGCATATGGAATTCCAAGCTGTTGTTTTTGCTGCTGGAAAGGGTCTCGTTTTCCTGAGGTTATTTTTGCACAAATCTTGCATCACTGGCAAATAATTTATCAATATATTAAAATACTCAAAATATTTAGGTTATTGGACCTAGAGCGAAGTGTTTAATACCAATAGGTCAATATCCACTCATATGGTATCCATTGCGTTTATTAGAAAGACAAGGATTTAAAGGTTATCAGTATGAAAAACCATACATATTAATTAATTTAATTTTACTAATTATTTATTATTTTTCTTTCAGAGGCCATTGTTCTCGTCTTAGACTCGCACAAACTTGAAATACAAAATGCTCTAGATAAAACTTCTCTTAATTTAAAATTAGATTTTATTAGTATTCCTAGTGAAGATTATGGTACTGCGGAATCACTGCGATTTATTCGTGATAAACTTACTCGAGATGTTCTGGTTGTTCCATGTGATATTGTTACAGAAGTATATATTTAACTTAATTTCTGAACATAAAAACTATTAAATGAGTCTCAGTATCTTCATATTTTTATTTAGTCAAATATTGACGAATTGCTGCTGCTTTTCCGTCTACATAATGCCACTATTAGTTGCATGTTCTTTTCAAATATGGATGAGAAACTATTTATACCTGGACCTAAAAACTATTATAAACCAGGTATTTATAATATAATGATATAGTTTTGTTATATGCGACTTATGTACAACTATTTTTCAGAACATGACATAGTTTGTATAGATAAGCAAACAAACAGATTAGTGTTATTAGCTAGTGCCTCTGATTATTCCGAAAGTATAACATTTCCTCTACACTTATTAAAAAAGCATAAATCTTTAACAATATTTAGCAAGTTGTTAGATTCTCATATTTATGCTATTAGAAACGATATTCTAGATTATTTATCTTACGAAAAGCATATTACCACTATCAAAGGTGAATTAATACCACTTGTTGTTAAGAAGCAATTAAGTTGTAAACTAAGTACAAACTGAAAATGAAAACTCGAAAAACTCTTTGATGGACTTTAAGAATGATAACACATTGAATTTCAATAGTGCATATAATGATAGTGTTAATGGTTCTCCAAAGTATTTTGGGATTCAATTAAATGTTATGCAGTTGTGAAAAAATCTAATTGCTTGGAATAAGAGTTAATAATATTGCATCTTTCTGCTTATGCAATCAAAAGGTAATGATATATGAATGTATACATTCATGTAAATAATATATTATTTGTATTAATTTATTAAAACAATTTTCTTCTCAACTGTAACAATATTTTTCAGATTAAGGAATTGTGGCCAAAAATTAATAAGGATGAAAGTGAATTGACTTTAATATCACAATCAAGTGATATTAAATCAAACCAAATTGATGAAAAATGTATAATGGTATAAAGAATGTCATCAATGAAAAAACAAGTTTGAAGAATACTTTATTAGAATCTAATTGCGTGGTTAATCCTAAAGTTCGAATTACCAATTCTCTTATTATGAGTGGTGTCATCATTGAAGAAAAGTAATTACTGTGTTATTTATTCATATAACATCTATTCATTTTTTACTGAATTTATTTATTTTAGTGTTATTGTTGAGGATTGTGTTATTGGTTGCAATGCAGTTATTGGAAAAGGTTCTAACTTGAAAGCCTGTTTAATTGGACACAGTCATAAAGTTTCTGAAGGCAGCATAAAGCAAAAAGAACTTCTAGATGAAAGTGAAAGGCTAATGGAAATATAAAGTTTTATAATATATATTTATATAATTAAAGATACATTGAAAAGATATACTTCAGCTTTTTACATTACATAAACATAACTTTTCCATTATCTTTTTCAAAATTGGATAAATGTGCTTTCTTGTCGCTTTAGTGTTTCCTTGAGAAATAATGCCAGACCATTCAATCTGGAATTCTTTCTTGCAATAATAAATCAGGATCTTATTATTTTTTAGTGCATATGATCTGAAAAATAATAACAATCAACATAATCTTTGCAAACATACTATGTTAACAAAGTTTCTATAAGCTTTTATTGGATACCTCATTAATTTCTTCTGCATAATTTCTACTGTATATACCCAAATCCTTGTTACCATTGTGCCATCAATCTG